AGCAAGGCAGAGGAGGAAGAGCTGGACTCAGGAAAAGAGAAGCTGGTGGTGGGAGAGCCGGCAAGCACAGCAGCTACACCAGCCCCAGTGACAAGTACAGCAGCATCGTTTGAGAGGTCTGAAGGTTTTGAATGGCCTTTGGGTATCCTTGGGACCTGCCTGCTGATTGTGATGGGGATCAGCATGTTGGCACACACACAGACTGTGTTCTATCCACAACCATTTTGTCTGATCTCAAAAGTTAAGCAGAGTCAGGTTTGGGTCTTGTCTGGGGTTAGACGAGGATATAGGAGGACCAGGAGATTTTCCCCAAGGCTGGACAGTCATGAGTGGCAGGGTGTGTGGGACAGTATGGGCAAGTATCTAGTCCACTGGGCCCCTCCAGTGCTTTGGAAGTGTCAGAGATGGAAGGCAGCTGTATGGAGTCCCCAGCAACAAGCTGCAGAAACTGCTGAAGGGGATGGTGAATCATTTTGAGCCTGGTGGGCCCATGGCACTTCAGGCCATCAGAGCAGAGATGCAACATAGAGATGGACTCATGATCGAGGGGTGGACTTAGCAATGGACACTATTGCCCAGGTTATTCACTACTGTGAACACTGCACACAGCCTCTCCTGCTCTGAAAAACTGTTACAAGAGATGGAGCCTGACATCATGGACCGAATGAACTCAGCAGGTTTATAGGGATTGGTCCATGAACTAAGAAATGACCTCTTTCTGTCTGTGTGTGTATGTGGATGTATATATATCTGTAAGAGCGATATTGAAAATCTGGGATCTAAGCATGACGTGAATGGTATGGAATAAGGGGTGGATAATGTCCTGGGTTCAGCAGTAACAGTCATTTTTCTCCTTCTTGGTAGCTGGTGCAGTGCTGTGTTTTGACTTTCGGCTCAGGAACAGAGCTGATAACAAAGATGTTTTGGTTTGTCCAAGGACTTTATGAGCCTCATGCTCTGCCAGGGAGGAGGGGAAGCCAGGAGGAAGCAGAGACGGGGTGCTTGACCCAAACTGACCAAAGAGGTATTCCATACCACAGCACGTCATGCCCAGGATGTAACTGGGAGTTAGCCGGAAGGGCTGGGAGACTGCAGGGTTGGAGGAGGTATCGGTCGGTGCTTGGTCGGGCTGGGGGGCGAGTTATTGGTTGGCTGGTGCTGAGGTGATCTATTCTCTTCCCTTGTTATTTCCTTTATCATTGTTATTATTGGTGGTAGCAGTAGTGATCTGTGTTATACCTTAGTTACTAAACTGTTCTTATCTCAACCTGTGGGAGTTGCATTCTTTTCGATTCTCCTCTCCATCCCTCTGGGAGTAGGGGGAGTGCAAGAAGGGGGGGAGTGAGTGAACAAGCTGGCTGGCTGGGTTTGAACCACGACACTGATATATTCCAGACTATATAGAATAATGTAAGCATATATAGGTAACTTAAAAAAATACTACTAATTTTTTCAACAAAATTAAAGAAATAAGTAGTGCTACCCTCAATTATATTCATTAGGATATTTTTGCTTAGAGACATGCTCAAGCCCTTAATTCTGCAGCCTGCAAATTATCATTATCCAACAATTACAAGCAGAAGAATGAAGGCTGCGCTGCATCTAATGCATTTGTGAAATTAGTGTAGTCTTTTTTCCTCATGGTGTCACTATAGGATAAATTTAATGCTGTTTAGGTATTCTCTGCTCTGAGCGTATTTCCATTTCCTTTGTCTCACTCTTTCTGTATTCTTTATTAAGTGTTTAGAAAAGATGATAATGAATATACTGCCTTGAAATTTGGACATGTTCTCTCAAGCACTGACCCATCTTCAGCATTGTATGTGAATTTTTGTTTTTTAATAGGATTTTATTACTATAATACATTTAGCTTTGGAAGAGGATCTGGAGAATTTGAGCAGCTCTTCTAATGACTTGAAGATAGGAATTGCCATGTTCTAAAGAAATCATAAAAAGGTTCGTATCTTACAATTAAGTGAGCTTACGATGTTAAATCCGAGATGTATTTTCCCTGTTTTTGGAAGAAGTCTAAGGCCCTCAGTTTCTATCTAAGCTTTGCTTTTTATATTAAGCCTTTGTAAAATGTTTTGAATTCGTCTTTTTAGATTGATACAAAGATAGTTTTCTTTTCCAAGCTGTTAGTGGCAAGAGTAAAGAGAGAGAATTTTGTTTCATTTACATACCTGATGGCATTTTCATCTGTCTAGTTGTTTCCACTTTACCCAGAGCCACATTCTCAAAGATATTTATGTACGTGACTTCCACAGTGGAAGGATAAAAGATGTGCTACTAGCAAATGCATATAAAGTAGGACTGAAGAGAGATTTCTTTATGGTATTGTATAAGAGCGGGAGCCAGGCAAAGAGGTGCTGTTTCCCATTCCTGCATTTGCAGCACATCTTTCCTGAAAGGTGAAAACCATAGGCCTTTTTCTTGCCTTTTCTGCCTTTTCAGTAGAACCGCAGCATTTGGGCTGGTTGCATTCAGGTTTGTAATGAGGATGAGTGTGACTGTCCAGTCAGTAGGAAGGATATCATCCACAAAATCTATGTTCTAGTGTGAACTCTGGCTGCAAATCAATCTTGTGTGTTTGTTTCAGTTAGCTGAGCTTGTGATCAGCCTCTGTCTAGCTTGGGTTATCAGCTCACAGGTGTGAAAATTAACTAGAACCAATGTATTCAAAAGTGGACTTTATAGTAGTATGGTCAGTTTGCTAGTTCAACGAAGAAGTTGGTTCACTTAAAGAAGTTACAGAGAACTAAGCAGTTGTGGAGCTTTTCAGTAGAAGCCTGAGCATTATCCCCTTGTGCCTTCCAGTGAGCTGAAAATCCTGTCAATATTTCTAGCAAGTTAAGAGTCTTTTATTCTCTGACTCCCCTCAGCTGGTCTTTTTTATATGAGATAATGGATATCCCTACTAAGTGGGTGGGTAAATGCCCACCATCTAAATAGTGTCTCTAATTCTTATGCCATGTCTTTCACTTACATGCTTGTTACTGCCACACAGTTCCTCCATAGAGTCAATTGTTCTTTGGGCTGGTAGTTTGGGCACAGTTGAAGTTACTATTTCTAGACTGTTGTCTTGATGACAACTTAAGACATCATCTTCTAGTGAAGTGTGAAGCAGGACAGCTAAACAACACATACTGAAAGAAATCTAGGGCAAAATTAAATGGCAGTTCTGCACATGGCACAAACTGCCTAAACCTAGGATGGAAGCTATGAACTATCACATTTGGATGTGAAAGTTTATTAGTTGTCTAGTATGCTGCTTTCTTTTCAAAAGGATGGGCACAACCTTTTTCATGACCTGATAATTCTCTTCTCAATGGTGATTTTATGGCCTTGCCAGTTTTTGATGCTAAGGTGTTGGCTTCAAACTGCAAGGCATGTGTAACACTGTTGTTCTGAAGGAGAGGCAGCTTCTCATAAACTTATTGGTGGAATACCAGAACCAGATATGCTGAGTGTCTTTTCCTGTCAGCTGTAAGCTGTAGCTCTTCTGGCTATTAATAAACACCAGACCAGGCTGAAGGAGTCACTATGTTGAGTCTGAAATGCAACATCTGCTTTAGGAAACCCTCCATGTCCACCACACAAAATTCCCACTGGAGTTTCTCCAGTCTTTAAGCTTTTTCCCAGCAGCTTTTCTACCTTGCATATTAGAGACCTCATTACCCAAATAATTCTCAAAATCCTTTGTTACCCACACTTACCTCACTTTGATTCCAACTTCCTTATCTTCTCAATGTCAAATGCAACCTACTTCTGTATCATCTCTCTTGCCTGTTCTCCACCCTCCCACTTAAGGCAGTGGTTGCAATTAACTCCTGGTTTTGCAACATCCAAATGCTCCATTTCTTCACATACTCTCCTTGACTGCCTCTGCTTCCATCTTACCTTGAGTGCAGAGGTCAAAAATAGCAAATTTCCTAATTTTCTGATCTTTTGGAGATGTCTGGCTTTTTCCATACCTTCATTCTTAAGACTGATCATTGTCCCCTTACTGTCCACTTCCAGCATAATAGGAAATTGAATGGAAAGTCACCTTGACCAAAAAAGACTAAAGATCAAGAGGTAACTGCTCTGGGTTAGTGCGGGTTTGTAGGAGTTTCTTAAGATCTGAAGAAATCACTGCCCGTGTCAGAGAGGACCCCATGGACTTCTCTCCATCTGGCTTGCAGCAGTGTCAACTGGTGAGGGAAATGTTTCCCTCTAAAATGTCAGGTTTCTGCAAGTACAGAAGTGCCTTGTACCTGTTAATTCTTCTTTCCAGTCTCAATTTATGTCTGCTGTGGGAGGTCCAATTGTTCACTGCGTCACTGTGTCCCCAAAATTTTCTCATCACATTCATTCCCTGCCCCACCACTCTTTCATCTGTCTCATCTTTCATCAGCCTTCCTAGCCATCCTCAGCCTCTTTTGCCCCAATTCTCTCTCTCAGACAAGTTCAGCTGCTTACTGTGCCACCTTAACTGCTTGACATCTCTTTGATGAGCCTTGATCAAATTCCTGCAAGTTGCCAGTTCTTCCTGTTGTTTCACTCCTTTCCCTTACATCTACTTAGAGTTGTGCTGCAGCTCCCGTCTCATCCTTTAGCTTTAGGGGTCACTCAGCTACATAAGAGGTGCCCCAGTTTCATAGCCTGAAAATCTGGCGACTTTGTACTTTTGATGCCTAAAGTTAACGTGTTTTAACATAACTCCCTATGTGAGTCTTTATAGGGTGTGATTAAACACAGTAAGTCAGCAGTTCAGTAGTGTACTAAAGACCCAGTTAGTTAATTAAGGACTTTAAAGTATGAAGTATTTGCCATCTGTAAACAAAATCTGTATTCTAAACCAAAACTGTCTCCATAGCAATGCCTGGGTTTTCACAGGACAAGATCCAAAGCCCAGTGAAAGCAGAGAAAGGACAGGGGAGGACCTTTCACTGATGTCAGTATCCTTTAGATCAGGCCCCTTATTTCCTTTAGCAATGAAGAAATGATGCACAAAGCACTGGGACTGTACAACTTCATTTTATTTTGTGTGCTTTTATAGGATATAAATAAATGACAAAATTACAAAATTTATAACTGGAAGCCCAAGCATATTTACATAAGTATTTGTTGCAGTGAGGCTACTATTTACTGTTCTCCTATACAATTTTCCTTTTGGTACCATATTTTTAGTGTTATTTTTTTCCTGTCAGTTGACTACATACATTATCAACAGTGAATAGGCAAAAATATGTACACGGAACTATTTTGTTCAAGTAAATTGAATACTGTATTAAAAGTATGTCATCACTCAGCGCTATGATTAGGTTTAACTAAACCATATACAATGATCAGGTTTAAACCAAGTTTGATTATCCATTTTTTGGAATTTACCAACTGATGATTCTAACTGAAAACCTCAGCTGGATATGAAATAATAATTAAAAAAACAGTAAGACAACCACACAATTTATCAATATCTCTATAATGAACTTCAAAATGATTCACGATTTGACTGGATAGAACAGTATACGTTAAAATGTCATTTTTCTCCTATAGTGATATTTGTACTGTTATAATTTCAGTTCTACATAAATATACATCATGGTATTATACAAATACTCCACAGACATTAAAAAACTTAAAACACTTCAAAGAAAAGGTAAGTAAATCTTATTTAATCAAATATTAAGCAAATGCTTAACTGTTTTGTTCCATTAAAACTTTTTTATTACTTTGGAATTTTTTTCTTTTTCTCGCTATTTTTACTTAGAAAATGTTTTTGCAGTAGAATTTTATCAACACGCTTCCAAACAAGCTTTCTGTGACAGAAATCTTGATAGCAAAAATCCATGGTTTTGACTTTATTTAGAACCACTGAGATTATGTTTTAAAAATACTAGCAGAATTCATGGCTATAGCAATGTTGAACTGCATAAACTATATGTAGGTGTAGTAGAACGACCATTCCACTTTCATTCCAGACTGATCACATGGAACATCCAGTGCACTGATGCTACAACTTTTACATTTTTCATAGTGCTGCAATAGCAGTGGTTTACTTAACTTTAAAATAAACAATATTTGTCGTAATTAATCTGGCTTCCTTCCATAAATATTCACATGTTTTCCTATAGTACTTCTCTTCCATAAAAATATCTAATAAATGTTTTCTGTGCATTATTAATACCTTTTTCTAACCATTCATAAAACTCTGATCCTTTGTTACAATGCAAGAAGTTCCTATTTCTGTAGAAGATCAAAGGACACCGATGATTACATATAAAACCAGCGCATACAGAAATCAGGGTGCCTAATTTCTTGTCACTTCAATAAGTTCTTTATTCAACACAGTAATTATTAATGAATTCAGTGGTTTCACAGATACTCTATTTATTAATTCTGGTTCTATTTCAATTAAAAACTGCCAAGATTTAAATAAAAAACCAATCAAATATTGTACTCGTAGGCAGCATTAGTGTTAGTTTAGAGACCTTTTGTTTTTTTATTTCTTAAAAAGTAGAATTCTAAAACAAGAAATCAAAGAAAGCACTGTGGCAGCGTCACAAGGGAGAACTGCGTGAAAAATAAGGTTTCTCACTCCTCTTGTGGACTGTAATTTTAAAAGTCTTCATATAGTGTCATTCTTCTGTCAGTGCTGCAGGAAGAAGAACATCACCAGAAATGACTGTCAGCCTTTTTTGTTAGTTACAAGGCCACTCATACAGTGCAGTCTTCCTCTCTGCTGGATTGAAACGTTGCCATAAAGGAAAGGCTGTGCTGTGACTGCTTGGCGTGCAAGGCACAACAAGGAAGGGGGGACAGTTTTGTATCAGAAAATTGTAGTTTCATACTTGGTATTAATGCCTCTTTTGGCCTCCTGTCCAGGTTCAACAATCCATGGCAGATTCGCAAGAGTCTTTTGTTCGGATGGATCTATCTGCTTTAAATGCAAACATACAGGGTTACCATCTCTGTGCACAGCATTTCTGGCAAAGTTTTTTCTTTGGATTAATAGAATACAGAACAAATCCTGTATCAACAATGTCCTGCAGCAGCAAGCGTGGTGGTCTACACTCCCGTGTACCCACAGTTGCCCTCTTCTTCCGATTTAGATCAGAGGTATGTCTACCTCCAAGCTATAGGGCATTGTAGTTTATTACAGCCATGCTTGATCCTGAGAAGTCCTTTTGCTACTGAGACAGTTGATGATATCAGGAAATGTTCTATTTTAAAATTTTATGGAGGAAGTTTCTGTGGTAATGGGTGACAAAAGTCTACAGTCACACATATTTTCCCTTTCCTCTCAACCAATCATTAAATATCAGAGAGTATGGTTCTCATTTTATAGCCAGTGAATATGATACAGTGTGCAGTCATTTTTTGCCTTTTCCCTCCCAAATCATCTTATGCCTGTATTCATAATTCATAATGTATTTAATAATTGTTTTAAAAATCTGCCATAAAAGAATACTTCTCTGTCATCTATGCACTTCAGGAGGGCACTTTAAAGGCAATTAATATGTAGGGTGCCATGAGCTTGGATTCTTAGGAGCTTGGGATTCCAGAGAAACTACAGAAAAAGTCTATTAAATCCCAGTTTTGGAACAGGAAGGTCAGCCAAGGGGCAAAAATTAAACAAAAAAGGTAAGAAAAGAAGTTGCTTGGTCTGATTGATAAGATAATTGTAAATTGATTTGGATTTGTAATTTGGTTAGGATACATATGCAGTGACTGTGTACCAATCAAGTTTGGTGCAGGTTTTATTTCTCGACAGGAGATCAGGAAAGCCCATGGAACCTCAGAGCTTTAGTTGTATGCATTTGCTGTGACCCTTAGCACTTAAAAAAGTCACAATACATTGGAAGTAGACTGAATCAGTTAAAGCTCTGTAATTACTAAAAGCGCCATGGCACATCTGGAAGGATCTGAAATGGGCAGTTGTTTGAAATGGCTACCTGTGCTAGAGTGACAGCTGATGAGCAGAGGAGGCACAACGGAGACATGCAGCATCTCTCATTCAACAGGTATGTTTATTTTTACAGCTTCTAGTATATCAACTCTTAACTGTATAGCTGAATTTTGTTATTTTTGCATGCACAACTACCTTTTACTTACCACTGACTTCCGAATACTAACACGTGGTTTGGGAATAGGTTTGGAGGGTTTATTTTCAAAGCTCTCTGGGAGGGTTGAAGAATGGCCCCCTTTTCGTGCTTGTAATGCAAGCTGATAGGCCACCTCAAATGCTTGTCCTAGTGTAAGGATGATTTCATAAGCTAAATTCTGAAACAAGACAAAACCAGTTAGTTAAAATTAGAGTGAGGCTGAATTATCATCAGATACATGAAGTGGAGTAGTACTGTCTACAGGAAGTGATTTGTAATGTAAATAATTAAAATCATGCTGCTAATGACTTCCTTAGTCTCTCTAATATTTATGTCTGTCATTTGACTTCTCATTGATTAAAACCAAACTAAATGTAATTTATTGTACTGAAAGTAATTACTTCTAAAAACCTTGAAAACCATGTCTCGCTAAGCATGTAAACAGGATTGGGTAAGTGTGTGTCATCTCTTTTTAGAACAAGTACATTCATCCCCACCTTTTCAGCTCACCCTGTATCTGCTGCTCTCAGGATCCCACCCATCTTGCACTACTGCATCTGACAACCTTGGCTTTCAGAACTCCCCTGCTGACCTGTCCTCCTCCAGAACCAGCAGCCTGATGAGCTGCTTCCCTGGGCACCTGCCTCGGGATGTGCTGCACTCTCACTGAACAGCATGGGAAGAGGATGCAGCATTTACGCAGTGCTTCCGAAAGGACAAAAAGCAAATGACATGGCATCATAGAATGGTTTGGGTTGTAAAGGAGCTTCAAAGGTCATCTAGTCCAACCCCCTGTGCTCCGCAGATGCAGTCCACCTATGCACACGTGAAAGTCAGTGCTCTATGTCAGATGCATGTTTCAAGTGCTGGGGAAACCTTCCCATGTTTTTGGAGTTGTTTCTTTTTTTTCAGGGCGGGGGGGTTGTTTTGTTTCTTTTTTTGGGGGGGGGGGGGTGGTGGTGGTTTTTTTCCCTCTAGAGTAAAAATGTTTGAGCTCAAACTGGCATGTCAGAATACTCTTGGTTAAGTGTGCGTGTAGGTTACTGTGTACGACCAAAGAAGTTAGGTTCTTGAGACCAAGACAAGTTTAGTGGTATCGGTGGAATACTTTTAAGTTCTCATGTGGAACAAAACCTGTTGAAAGGTTTATAAAGCATGAATGAGGAGCCAAGGGGTTGGTACAAATAGTTTTTCAGCACAGTTTTACATCAGTGAAAGAGCAGCGGTGAGTTTCAAATCTGATCTTAACCTAAACTGCAAGTGAATTTCTATGGTAATTTTTTTTTCAGGTTTGTGGGTTTGTTTTGGTACATTTATTTCTAGGCTCCTACTAGAGCCTATTTCTAGGACTCAATTTGCAACAAAGTTTGGAACTCCTGCAAAGCAAATGCAAGCCTTCAGGCTCCCTACTTTATGTCCTATGGTCTCCTTAGAACAATTCACACATCATTGATGCAATTCAGAAGTTATCTTCTCCTTTCTCAACCTCTGTAGTCCACAGCTGGAAGCAATCCCGCATTGCTTTGAAACTAGGCGATCCCTTAAATTTCCCACATTTGTCATATAATTTTAAATGAGGTATCTGTTTATCTAGTCAAGTCTAGCTGTTGAGTTTGCGACAAGCCAGAAGGCAATACAAGACACTTGGAAGCACACTATTTGCCCTTAAGTTGTCAAAACACAGTTAATGTGTTAATGTAAAATGTAGGACATTTTATTTCATGTCCTACACTGCAATTTCACAGTAACAGTGAAGAAATTACATCCTTTTGTTATCACACATGTATACTGAGATAGTAGAGGCTAAATTCAGCACATTTGGCTCATTGTAAGAACTGTTATGAAGGTGCCAGCTCTGGGCTTTGTTAGGTCAGACAGAAGAGTTATACTCCTCCACTGGGATATACTCTCAGCTGCTATGACTGTGGTCACAACAGCAAGCTAACCAAAGTTTCACAGCTTCCCAAATAAAAATGTCTGTCTAATTTGATATCAGTAGTCTCTGCATTATCTCCTTTTTAAATAATGGAGACTGGCCAGGATGGTGAAACACTGAGGATGCAGTTTGCCAGTGGAGTAATAAATGAAAGACTAAAGAGACTATAATAAAGTGTCCTGCCTTATAGCAGAACGCTGGCTATGGAATTAAGACCAACAGAGTATAATTGTTAAAAATGTACAGAATAATAATATTTAAAATGGAGCACATCTATTAGTAGGACAAAGATATTATTCTAAAGACATCTTAATCAGCTGTCATGACAGTAAGGCAGTGTAATATATCACCATGGGATTGTCTACAGTGGCTATTACTATCGCTAAAGAATACATCAACAGGACGGTGTGGTAATGGCTTGAAGAAAATGCAGACTGCAGTACTACTGGGACTAAGAAAATTCACCATCCAGTGTGGCATACAAAAATGTCACTGAGACACAGGCCTGGAAAGCTCTTGAGACAAGAGTAGAGACAAGCAGAGAGTTTGCTATGCTGAGCTGTAAATCCAGTCTGGGTCCTGCATCTCGTCTGAAGCCACTATGATTTGTTTTCTTTTTGCAATCTGTAAAATGAAAAAACAGGCCTGCCTGGAGCCTGAAAGCCATAGGAAACATGGAACTGTTTCTGTGGTTAATAAATATTTGAAATATAGCAAATAAAATGGAACATCCAGTGTTCTGTTCAATATTTGAAATGTAAACTGAACTTGTACATAGACTTTATACATTGTGTACTGCGGTAGAGCCTTGATGAAGAGAAATCTGCAAGTGGAGGCAAGGAGAGCTTTAAAATTGTCCCTTGTAAAATTTAAAAAAAAGAACTATCTGAAAAATTGTATTTTTAAAACACCCAGAAGTAAATAAGTTTGGTTTGAGGAATTTCTCATCTGAAGTACTGGGAGAGGAATATGAGGATTAGAGTTGGTATGGATTCTTGCAGGTGCTGTATTGGAGAGATAAGAGCAGGAGTCCCTTGGGGATGTGGGTGGAAAACCAAACCACAAAATTGACTATGGAAATTCTGATGGAGCGAGGAGACTATTTGACTTTTTTACATGTGGTGCAAAAGGAAGGAAACGGATCTATCTCCCTGAAAGATGCTTAGTACATAAGCTGTAGACCTGCTGGTCTGACTGAGGAAGACTGACCTTTACAGCACTCCACCAGGCTCCTTAGAAAGTAGGCAAAACTTATAGGACCGTGGTACTACTGAGAATGCTGCAGTCCTGCTCCATGATCATCTCAGCAGAGAAGGAGAGGGAGTGAGCTAAAACCCTTCAGCAACAATTTTTGGGAGATGAGAAATTGAGGTCAACTGCCTTGTTTGCCATGTAATGTTACAATAGCACGCCAGTGCAAGTCTGAATCAGGATTTTTCAGCTGCCTTATCTCAGACAACCTATTCCAATGCCCAATTGCTTTCTTACATCTTAACTGACTTTTTTACTGCTAGCTATGTTCTATTCATAGGTTCACTGGGCAATACAGGAATCTCTGATGGAAATTACTCTGGATGTCTCCCCTCTAAGAATCAGAATTTAGTATAGGAACTGTGACAATGGTTCCCTCCAGAGGGAATCCTTCACTTATGGTTTAGGGCTGCTTTATAAGTGAATGAGTCTCAAACAGATTTCAAATATTGAACAATAAATCCTCTTCTTCACCCAAGCCTTGTCCTCTTCAATATTCTTTAATTTTCTGCATTTTTTTCAATTTTGATTATAGAATTCTAACACTGAATAGACAACTTACATGTACAGTCACTCCCAGATTGCATGTATCAGTGGTTGACATGTCACTATGATAAAATGCTTTCCTATCTGCAAAATAAAATTGTTCTTGCCCACATTTCCTGAGGAACTGAAGGACTTAAAAGAGTAAAATTTTTTTGTGCCATTGCATATACTGTATTACCATAATATATATGATTTAAGATGAATCGTTTTTATACTTTATTGGGGATTTCTGCCATTTCAAACCTTATTTTTCTTAATGACTTCTCTCTATTGACTGACATGTAGGATTGTTTCTATTAGCTAACTGGAAGATCAGTTTTAGACTTTAAACAGCAAATGTAATGTACTGTATGCTTGCATTCTACATATCTAGCAAGTGTTTTGGGCGCTTGTATTTGCATCAAAAGTGCTAGAGCCTGAGAAATAAAACAACACAAAAAGAGTATCTGAGTAGGTAACACCCGACTAAGGATTATGTTGCAAGAGAAAACTAAGTCAAGATAGTTAGTTAGACATTAAAGTTTCTGTATTGCTTAAAATAGCTAAAGTGCTTGGGGTATTAAATGTTCCTCCTAAGGTACAGGAAGTGAACAAAATGTTGTAATTATTCCTGGATAGCTATTCTTTCCTTGCAAAGCAAGAAGAAAATGAATTTCATCTACTATACCTGGGTTTACGTTTGTGCTTGATTATTAATCCTATAAATGAAACAGCAGTAAATTGAAAGCATTAACAAGTACTTAAATAGATCAGGAGAAATAATAACCTCCATCAGTCTAATTTCAGCTGATTCACTTATTGCTGAAAGCTATATAATGTAACATCTTGTCAACCACAATCTCTATTTTTAACAAAATTTTGAAGTTCTTTCTACTCCCTGTGGACACTAAAATGTCAGTAGAGAATTGAAACAACAAAAGCACTGAACCAAAATGCTAAAATTCCTTTAAATCTCCCTTTCTGTACATCTTACTGTTTAAACTCTCTCAGAGCAGTTGCTCTGCAGTGTTGACTATTTCCCCAGTCCCAAACAAAATGCCTCAGTTCAGACATCTCTGATCTCTTTGATTTAGTGTTTATATTCCTGTAAGCATGTTTCAAGACTTCATATACATGATACTATATTAAAATGTTTTCTTATTGAATGATTTTAAAGTTTTAATAGCATCTTGAATTTATCTTGTGCTTAACTTAGAGGGAAAGCATTCCTGAAAGTTTTGGACAATAAATCCTCTTAGTCCTAAAAAATCAGAGCCGCTACTTATTTCATCAAATTTAGCTGGAACAGCAAGAGTGACTAACAACTGATGTGTTCATGATTTCTTGAGACAGTATCAGCCTGTGCATCACCACCTGAGAAGCATAAATGTAGGAAGAACTTAGTCATTTTCCATTAAAATATCAGGAGCTGTAAGGACTTCTGCTGAAATAATATTTTTGAGATTTTTAGACAAGAAGATTTGAAGCAGGAAGTAAAGGATTAAAGCATTAATTTGCTATTTTCAAAACAAAGGCTATCTTTTTGCAAAGGTAAATGTGCTGCTAAAATAAAATTTTCCCAAAATCTGTATCTGCATTATTTGTTAAGCTAAAACTCCAACTGACATGACAGAGAGGAGAGCAGAGCAGAACAGAAGGACCCTATAATAATAACAACAAATAATCTGTTGGTAGTTACAGGGGTAAACTTACACAAGAACACAAGCAAATATGCAGATCTCTGTTATCACAGATGTTTCAAATGTTTCAGTGGGGTAGCCAAATATTCCTAGGAAATCTTGAGATATGTAATTAGCTACTTGTGTGGTCTCTGTCAGATCTGTAAGTGTTTTGGTTCTCTGGTTAAAGCAAACAGAAAACTTGTCATATATTCTCTACACATTTGCAGCGGAAGCTTCAGTCTTACAGTTCATCCAATATATTGTCAAAAAGTCTAAACAATATTTAGAGAGATGTTTCGAGTTTTTGGGACTGATCCAGCTTAACACTGAAACACTAAAAGTCAGTACAGCAAGGTAAGAAATCTGAAGGAATCACTTACGGTGGTAACATCTCACCTCTGTTCCAAAAAGGCAGCCCACGTCCATTTTGTGAAGGTGGGATGTTACCACCACCACGAGTACAGTGCAGTTAAAAACACGAGACTGCCTGCAAACATAATTCAAGCTAGATCTTGAACCTACCTGTTAGCAAGATTGAACACTGTGTATAATGCATATTCTGATTCGTTTATTTGGTTTGCACTCAGATATCGGAATTGGTGGCCAAACCTGCTTGTTACAAATTTCTTGGAAGGCTACAGATCATGTTAGAAGAACTATACGTCAAGATGTATGAAATGCTACTTGCCAAGTTTACAGTCAACAGCTGAGATTACAGAGGTGAGTTGTTTCAGATGGCAAATGAGACAGTATCAAAGAAAATATTTTCTCTTCTCCAGAAATGTCTTTTTACTATCCCATAGTAGATAAGACTTTTCACGTGGTAAATGAATGACACCTTCCATTAACCCCCATATACCTGAAAATGTTTCAATAGAATTAAAATACTATTACAAAGAACTATTAAATGAAGTATCTTCTATAAACTGACCACATCAAACGCAGTGAATACATGGCAGTAGTGGTGATTAGTCTTCAAGTCTTTAGTGATGTACGCAAATGTAGAAAGGTCTTCAGGGTCTTGTGCAGCACACGAAATGTTACGGATTTCATGCTCAGCAATAATATTCTGTTTAAAAAAAATATTTTCAATCAATTTAGGAATTAAATTTAAAAGAGTTGTAAAAGGTGTGGGTTTAGATTTACATTTATGTTCAACTGCTTTACTGAAGTATTTCAAAAGTTTCTTAGTAAGAAGAGATTTAACACACCCCATGTGTGATCTTACATAGATCACTGGAATTTTGACTCTCACCCATGATATCCAGAATTGCCAATAATCTGATAGGAAACAATTACATTCTACAGTCTCCCTACAAATCTGGTTGAGTTTTGCGCAGTTTATTCAGGATCCTCTGACAAAGAGACATCTTTCCTGGCACACCACTGTAAAAGCAGTTTCAAAGCACTAAATGAGCATCTTATGATGCTGCTGGTTTTCTGTATAATGATCACTCCATGACACTGTTTCAGTCCACTGACAGACAGAATCTTGGTGAAACCTAACAGGCTCAATATCCCAGTTTTTGCACATGTTGTTTGACAAATTTCAGCTATACTTTTGCAAGAGATAAAACCACCAAAGATTTACATAATTGAAACCCAGAGCTCTCAAAAGGCTTCTGCTTAGTAAAAAGATAACTACAGAAAGGATCTGGCAACTTTTCTCCGCTTACTGCCAACGGCATCCTGCAAGAAAGATGTAGAAAAATGAAACCATTCATGCACCGAGCAACACTACTTGCAACAGCCAATGTAAGCTATAGCACACTACTGAGATACAGGTGGGGCATGTCTGTCCGATGAAATAAAGAAAAAAAAGCTGTCTTAAAGCTTTGGAGAAAATTATGAATATTCATTACATAAATTGCTCATATGTAATTACTGTGTGCAGGCCAAAGAAACCATGAAGCCAGAGAAGAAGATACTGCAGAATGGCTTATGATTAGGCCTTGCTTCAGCAACACAACCATTTCAAACGATCTATTTAAACAGAATGATTCACTGGATATGAATTTACTTAGCACTTAGTTTATATGAGCTTTTCTGAATTGTGGCCCTGCTGGCTGTAGCTTTTCCACAAAACCCCAAAATGAACAAGCCTCCTGCAGCACGACATCGCTATTGCACCAGAGAACATGTGACATCTGTCATGTCCGAGTCCCTCCCAGAGCCACTGTTTGCTGCTGCCTTAGTGGCATCTGCCCAAGTTAAAACAATCTCTGGCTCTCCCTCACCCCTCTCTTTTCTTTCCCACTTTCTTGCTTCCTTCTCTCTCTCTCTTTTCTTTTTTTAAATTATAAGGAACAGGAAATGTATAAAACTAAATCAGTTAAGATGCTTTGCCATATCTTCTTTCATGTGCTAAATGGAAACTTTCCCTCTTGCATATAGGTGTCAAGGTTTTGAAAAGACATATCAATATATCTACTTAAGGAAAACACGCCTTAGGAAAAATCTTAATAAAAAGCATTCCAAATTTCAAATTACAGAAAAAAAAAAAAAGAGGCAAGGAAACTGTTACTGAGGAAATGAAATAATCCTCTTAATCTTAAATTGTTGCAACATACTTGATTGTTTCTGTTTGATGCATTATTCACTGAAATGACAAAAAGAGTACTTATGTTTCAATATATGCTAATTTATAATGACACGTATAATCTCTGCTTAACAATCATTGGCTTTTTATGTTACATTAAGCGTTTTATTTTCTTTGTTCTCAAATTGATAACTTTTACTCTGAATAAAGATTTTGATGCAAATTACAATTAAACCAAGCCCAGGGATTTAGATAACCACAGATATAGCTATAATACAGTCACTGATGTTGTATTGGGAACACTGTAGTTTAGAAAGCAGAAATAATTAAAGCTTGGAAAGTCTTAAAATCACGTTAAGTATTTATGCCAAATCATGAGCCACAAAGTAATCACTTGAATTTATGCAGTGTATGTGAATGGAGCTCTGCTATGCTATGCTGAAATTTTTCCTAAGTGACTTGGGGTTGATACAGGGCTTTGCACTTGAATCAAAACTCTCAGAGATTATTTTAATGTTTTCACTTTAAAGCAAGTGGAGTTTGGAAACATACCCAAATTAAGCTTGTTGTGAATAAAATAAAGTATACCTAAACTAAATCTTCTGGATGAAAATGAGTAGTGAAACTGAGCTTTTCCCTAGCTTTTATAGGATACCCTCTGTGATCTCCTTTCAAAACTAAACATGTCTTCAGTGCATGTGCTTACTGTTTCCTAGGGTCATTACTCCAGTAGACCCACAGTCTTACTCTGTGGAAATTAGAAGGCTGTGAACCAGCTCACTGTTCTGGGAACACTCCTCAGGCATTGACTGTCACTGTACAGCCGTTGTTCTAAAAATTCACTCAGTTTGGCAAGAGAAACCTCAGGCGCTTCTCGAAAAGCAGGGAAGCTGAAAGTCGAGTGTGGTTCTGCCAAGGAAATACCTTGGAGAGATCAGTGTTTTACTAAGCAGCCTTGCTTTTGCTTGCCTATCTTGTGTCAGCCAATGTCCCTCCTGGCAGAAATCACCCAGAAGTTAGGGTTAGCTGTGACCCATGAGAAAATCCTGCAAGTCTGCTTTTTCCTAAGCAGCAATTTCTTTCTGGCCTCACTTGCAAAGAAATGGTGTCATGTCATGTCATGCCAAGCTTCAAGGCGCCACTGAAATAGCTGTCGTGGAATGAGGTCAGGGCCCCTTTGTCACCTGAAGCTTTTGCCTGCTATGACTCAGAATATAAAGTCTTAGCTTGGTGGCAGAAAGGAAAAGGATGAACAGCCATGAGAGCTGAGTTTTCAAGCACATAACTGCTAGCTATTTTTTGTCATTAAAAAGTATGCATTTATTGCTAAGTGGTGCCCAGCGCTGTCAACTATAAGCTCATATGGAAGCAGTACAAGTCTGAATAGGATCTCACCTTAGTGCTAATCTGTTTTGGGTCTTGAAGGAATTGGGTACAGCACACTGTGGACAAGGATGATAACAATGCTTCCGGGAGAGTTGCAGGCTATTACCTGGTTTTTACAGAAGGGAAAGGCAGTGCAGATTTTGAACTGGAGAGACAGCAATCTACCACTTGAGAAAAAACACTGTGGCATTATTTACCTCCATCAGATACATCTATTGCACTATTAGGCACAGGATTTCAGTGGGACTGGTCTAAAGCTAATGCAATTTGCCAAACTTCTTTCGAGTTTCCATCTTATATAAGATTATATGTTCTGTGCAAAGAGATACTGGAAGTTCCTTTTGTTCTCTTGATGTATTCTTTTTTTAAAGCTATGAACACTGAAGTTACATCCTTTATACCACAGAGATTTAAGAGCTGAAAACAGCCTTATTCAAGTTAGAGCTAACAGCATTGCAATGTCCTGATTTGTGCCCTGCACATCAGAGAACATAAAGGAAATGAGGGTTGTAGAAGCTCAGTTTTGAATCAATGGAAGAAAAAGGAGCTGACAGGAATCCCTGGCCTCTCTGCTCCGGCAAATATGCCAATATCTGACATAATAATGATTTCACCTCTCTTTTTCTTTCATGCCATCTTCTAACCCTAGATACGGCTTCCAAACTCTACCAGAAGTTCAAAAAACTGCTTTTATTCCTTCACTTAAAACTCAGTTCTAGTTAAACACCTTTAAAAATTGACTTATTTGGCAAGCTGGATGGATACTGGATTAGATGTATCATGTGGTCTGAATGTTCAGCAACACAAAGGAGTTATATACATTATTAACCTGGTCAGGTAGCTGGGTTGTCAGATTTATTTTTCTTATTGCTTTTAGTGAGTTTTAGTCACATAATAGAAAAGGTAATTTTTCTTCTATTCACATGCAAGCATCAGCATGGATTGCATTTTCTTGCCATTTTAGACATCCGAAGAAGAGAAATTAATGCATTACTTTACACCTGTATACAGAGCTTGTACATTTTACTTTGGCTAAACAATAACCCACTGCTGTATCCATCAATGAGTTCTCTGATGTCTCAGTTTCCCCCTTTTTTCATTTTTAAAAGATGCTGGATGTATTTTAAAATGTAAGAACCAAAGCACAGGGGCATTGCCACACAGGAAGATGAAAACAAAAAAGGAATAACAACCGTTAAGAAGCTGCTGCAGTTCAGGGGGTCAATTGGCTAGTACCAGGAAAACAGCTCTAAGAGAGGCTCTGACATTTGAAAAGAACATTCAAGGCCCATGTTTCTTATTTTTAAAATGGCTGGCCCTGTAGATAACTTTGCATCTTTATTCTTCATCAAGGCATCTTTTCTCCCCCTTCTCCCCTCCCCCCAATTACATTATTATTGAACAAATATGCATATATTTTCTGTATATTTAAGGAACTGTATAGGGAAGAATATGATAAAGGATTCAACAGAGGGTCACTGCCAAATGTCTTTTTAATGACAGAAGGTTGGACACTGTTCATCAAATGAGCCATTAAAGCTGCCTTACTCATCCTCCAGACCGAGTTTCTGGAGAATGACAATGACATTATATCCATTTTGGAAAGAAGATGAAAAAAGAGAGGAAAACGCAAAGTGCAACTCTGTTCACTCTCTGTACTGGTGCTCTTAGAGAGCCAGTCTCGTATTCGCATTTGAGAGAAACAGAAGCCAATATTGAATAATTACACATACCTTATTCGTTGCATCAATAAATTTGACTCCCTTGTAAGAGACAGACAGGACAATGGTTGGTACTTTCTTCATTTGTTCTGTAGACTTCTGGAATCAAAATGAAGATGTTGTTAGAGTTGCGTTGCATTGCAAGACCAATGCTCTTTCTCCTGTCAAAATAAGGAAGTCAAACAAAAGGTACTTATCAAAATGTCTGACTGTTTCTTGAGCTGGCTATACTCTGGGCTTCTGAAATAGCTGCTTTGTAGTTACAAGACTAAGATCTTTACAGTTTATTGCAAGGATGGTAAAAATTCTCATTTTCCCTAGCACAACAGGAAGAGAATGAAATAAATTTGCCAGGCTTAAAAAGACCAGTAATGCAATCAGGGGTTTCCCAAAATGCATCTGTTTAAGATCATCCCTGCCTCCCCTCTTCTTTTCCTGCTCTTCCTAGGTGTAAAAACCAATACTGCGGTACTTCTCGCAGTACTGTTTTTTTGCTGCAATTACTTGTCATTTAGAAATATTTCACTCTCTTGCGTTCTTGCAGTTGTATTTCTGACACAAGATATCCCTGCCAGTCAATCTGTCAGTCCAACATCGTATCCTGTCATGACTGGCCGTCTACAGTTTTTTGAGTGCAGCTGCTACTGAAAGCTGCTTTATCCATGAATTAGCACTGAGGCTTACTCTGCATTCCCTCAGTGCCAGGTTCTCCTACCTCCAGTTCATGTCTTCCTATATGGCTATTTTTTCTTTCATGCTAATCTATTTCTGTGTGCCATCAACATGATGCACACAGCAATGATATTTCCTGCTGAGCAGACTGGGCAAATATTTGGGATAGATTTAAGTTCTCTGCAGAAAAAATCTGTTGATTAGTTTACAGATCAAATTTACTAAACTAACCCCAAAACCAACCAACCAACAAAACAAATATGGACATAATAGTTTACAGCTGATTTGAATTCTTTTAAGGTGGAGGGCAATGACCAGACTATTCTGTACAAAACTACTGTAGATAAATAAAATAGATAGGTAACATTCAAATAGCACTCACTCATGGGAGTATCTGCAAACAATCGAAGAGGTCAATCAAACATTTTCTTGAGAAGAAAGTGTGAGGTCAGTTACAGCTAAATATGAATACATATCAGCCCACAGAATGAGAGTGTAAACACAATGAAAGGTCTAGAACTGGCAGGCAGAAAGATCATTAGAGCAGCTGAACAAAATGAGCAGCGGAGGGTTTATATTTTTCAAGGAAAAGGAAACAGCACAGATATAAGGTTAAAAACACAGACTGTTTCTGAGAAAAAAAAAAAAAAGTCTGAAAAACAGGTGATGCCAACACTAGAGAGCAAAACAAACAAAAGCTCAAAGGAAAAAAACCTGTAATCAAGTCCCCTTATCAGCTCTTGTTCCTTCCAGAATCAAATGAGACTCCAAATTTGCCATCGTAAAATTCAAAGCTACAGATCCAGCTACATTCTGCAATTAGTGTCCATGCCATGAAGGCTAAAACCTCTAATTAATATTTCAAGGAGAGCCCCACGCATCCATGCAATAGAGAGGACTGTTGTATCTCTCAGGATCAAAGGACAAGTGACTCAAGACAACAAGCGTCAGTTTATCCCAGAGAAAGCTTTTTTTACCCAGGACACTAGGCACTGTTCAAAAAATGAAAGCTTAAATGGTAAAACATCCTGAAGAATCTTAATAAAATCTGAAGGAAGACACTAATCTTATTTGCATGACTCTGAACTGCATGGAAGAAGAAATGGTATCCCTGCCAAAAGCAGAGCAAGTACATACCTGTGTGTGTGTGTGTGTGTGTGTGTGTGTGTGTGTGTATGTCTATAATAGATCTTAAATGAGCCTTTTCACAAAATTCAATGCACAGAAAGCACGACAGTGACTCTACAGAAGCTGCAGTACATACATCTATCAGAATAATAGGCAATATACCCCGCATATGCTCATAACCAGACAAAATATTCACAAATATGTCAACATCACTTTAATCATCTGGCAACCCAGCAACCATCCAACTTTTGTCCTTTCTTTCTATCCCGACAGCTACCCTCAGGAGCTCTTTGTCTCCTATTTTGATTATTGTAATTATCTTCTTCCTTGCCTCCTTAGCAGCAAAATTCCTTTTCTCCTCCAACATGCTATACAAACATGGCTACTAAGTTAATTTATTATACCTTTTTGGTCTAATTTGCTCTACCTTCCATTTGCCATAAAGGTGAAGCTTACTGTTGCAAGGCCACACTGTACTGACCATCTGGGAGTCCTCTTTCTCTAGACCAGTAGGTTTGTAATTTAATCATCTTCCTTGTCTGCTCCACATTCACCTGGCTTTATCTAGAGCAGACCTGATCTTTAGTATTTAATCAAGGTTGTGAACTGCTAGAAGACTGTATCTGAGTGAAATAGCTCATCAAGATACTATTAAATTTTACCTGGCAAACTAGGAAATGAATCAGAGACTGATGGACATTTGTAATTTATTAAGCCAAACTGTCTCAGCTGGAAAAGAGCAATGTCCCTTATCAGCTGGCAAACCATACAAACCCCAGGATTTGTGCAAAGGTGTTCTGGAAGACTGTACTCCAGTGTAGAAACATGATTTTAGGAAACAATTCTGCACTTGTACCCCCACTGCAACAAACAGTTGGGCAGTGCAATAACATCCTTTGTTATAATGAGAGTGCTATCATGAAAAACAAACAGCTCTATTCCCCCTGCTCGATTCTCAGTGATACAGTAACTGAAGTCCACCATATAATTATTATTTCCAAGCAGTTTCCAGACTTGAACAGTTCTGAGTTGTCATGGTGAGCTCATCCTATTTGCTTGTTGTTCTTTTCTTTTTAAAGGAGGAGGTGGCTGCCAGAATGTGTAATGTGAGTTTTCAGGGATACAATATGAAAACCATTCACTAAGGCACTGTAAGTGCTTTGGCTCTAAATTCTAGGATGCTGAGATGAAGTACCACAGCTTTCATGGTCAGACATTTCACACCTCTGTGCAGGCCAAGTGGGCATCTCTGCCTGTGCCTGTGACCAGAATCTAAGAAGGTGGGACACAGGAGTCAGTATTCCCTTTCCATGGGCTTTTCAGGTCCTAGCCACCATATCAATTCCACGAGGACATGATGAGATGACAAAACATTCTTGTCCATCTGGTGCCTCTATGGGAAGCATGCGGACTTGAGCCAAAGTTATAGGAGCCACAGCTGAAGGCTGGCATTGGATGTCATGTGCATGCTGACATATGGTCTAATGCTCCAAGGCATGTTCATACCATAGTAGCAGAATTAGATTTTATCTCATGTAGAAGCAATCATAGTGACAGGGCCCTGTCTTTGGGCAAGTGCTCACTAGCCTGGAACTGGTCATAGTTCCTATGAACTCCATCATTTGTGACCATAACTTTGTCTCTTTGTTTTAAGATACTTCTTTAGGAGAATCATTTGGTTGAACAGCAAGCATACTCTAGGCTCGTTGCCAGTGCCTACACAAGGACAGATGTGCATGCTCTGTCTCCTCAGGTACAATGCTCCTGCAGTGAGGAGTCATAATGCTGCACAGTGCAATGCCAGAGAGACTGAGCTGTGGTCCTACTTCTGAAACAGGTAGATGACTATGTTAAAGTAGGCCCTGCGTAACTCAAGAACCACAAAGCTTCCTTCAGATACAGGAAGATGGAAGAAAGCATCACCATCCAAAATCTAATGTGACTTACGTTCAACTTCCCAGATCCCCTGCAAAAGACACAGAGCCTCTTCTACACAATAAAGAACAACAGTAATAGCAGGCTCGCCTGTACTTTAATACAGCTGCTGCGACAAAGCTGCTTCATGTCCTCAGCACCCAGAATGCAGATCCATCCAGTGAAAAGAGGTGAAAGGTGTCTGCTGTGTAATTGTCTAGTTATTACAGTGCTTGCTTTTACAATAAAGGTCTGGATTTAATTCCCTTCTGAGTTTACATCTAAACCCACTGCTACCATTAGGCAGGACAGTGCCAAAACCCTGAATAGCATTGAACAGGGCTGCTCCCAATTCCTCTGTTTGAAACTAGCCTAAAGGTATGCAAGAGCACAGTGGTACCACAGAGAGAGCAAGTGCTTGCTTCTCGTCATGTTTATCAATTTAGTTTCATGGAAAAATCCCACCCCACTTGCAAGCAGACTCTAAACAGATTTCCAGAGTATAGTACTACAAATTGTCTTAAGTGGGTAAAGCATTTCCACCTGTATTTTGATTTTGAGTTAAAGGCTGTGCCGGACTTACTTAGAATACAAACTAAAATCCAACTGAGATCCACCCAGCCAGTGTGCCTAACAAATCAAGGTAATCAACAATAGTTTAAGAAGCAGAGAACTTTGTTCTATGAATAAAGCAATATAAACTAGCTTTATTTTTATTTTTAAAAAGCAAATACATGCAAATACAACTCTAAAGGGCCTTTAAACCTTTCAAGACACGATTGTACTGCAATACTTTGCTCTGTGCAGAACTGAGAGCACTAATCCAACAGTTTTAAATACTCCTCTAGTGTACAAAACACAGTGCAGACACACACACACGAAGCAGCTGAATAAGAAATTAAGGAGCGCACATAGAATGGTGTCCAAGTAAGACGCTCACACATTCACTTGACATACTTGACATACTGTTGCACTACTTTGCCACACTGGCCACTTTCATGTACTTATATGCACATTTAGAACTGGACTACTCAGCTTTCATACAGTGTCAAAAATGAACCCATGTTAATTTTTAGGTTTTACTGAATATGTAATTATACTTGATCTTTCAAATACACAGTAAAAAAGAACACTATTCAACTACGCCAAGTCACTAACAATTCCATACATAACTTCTGGGTAGAAGTTTATAAGCCTGTAATATCTTAAGTTTTCATCTCAGCTTTTTACCTTTGCAAATTAATCGCTAATTTTGTCCTACATTGTTTTTTAATAGCTATCTGAAGACTGTAACTGGTAAGTTTTCTATTCAATTATGTACTGGAATCCACTTCAGTATGAGAATCTGAACATTTTTTCATACTGGTAGCAACTATTAATTCTAAATAGCATCAGACTGCACATTTCAAAATACATATTGCTGTCACCTACTATTATCTGCCCATAAGTCTGTTATTTATTTAAAGCTTATGAAGCCTCATTAAACAGTTCTGTTTGAGTGAATCACTCTGACAAGATCACGCATGAAATGAAATTGAAATAAAAAAATCAAAATTCACATTTGACCAGTTAGTTTTGAAGCCATTTTTGAAATCTGACTTGTAACACTTACAAAAAGTCTTCAAAATGCATCACTGACATAATTTAATACCTCTTGGAATAAGATAGCATCTGTAGCCCCTGTGGTACAAGACTGTTTGCTTCCCTACAATTAGTGAATGCCTCCAAGCTACATCATTAACATAAGCATTGCACTGAGGATACACCTGCAACTCATCTACTTGAGAAAGAAGTTTTTTTGCTTTTGCCATATCTGTTTGCACTTATCTGCTGTGGAAAGGGCAGCACATCCCTCCTGCACCTTGGATTCCTTTTAGCCACAGAGCTCAAGGACATACAATCCTCTGAATAACATGGGATGGCATGATGTGGATGTGCATAAGGACTGAACATCTTCTAGATGTCCCACCAGTTCTCTTTTCCTTTTGAATAATATCCATGTGCCTGTTCCACTGCTGGCTCCCCAGAAGCACTGGCCACATGAGTGAGACAGAGCTACAAGTCCCATGAGAACAGAGACTGAAGAATGTGAATTCTCAAATAGAGTATTTGAGCAGGACACTTCTACTTTTGAGGGGAGAAACTAAAGGGAGATTGAAAAGTAGAAAGGGATTAGCAGAAACAAGGAGACTGACATCTATATCCAGGTCATCCTTCTTCATATGAGGAATGAATGCCTCAGACCCTGCCTATTTTCAGTGAAGGGGTTACCTCTGCTTTATCTGCAGATTTTGTAACAATTCCAACTTTCAGTCTTAAGTCAGCAAGATATTTAAACACCTGCTTTATGAATAGAATTATGTTGCTGGTTTCTCCGAACTTTGACTTGAAAATGTAAGAACCTTTATTCTAACGAGAAAACCTTTAAGAAAGATACATAATATTCCGGAAGGTGTTAGGCTCCAAGAGCAAAACCTATGTTCCCTACTGCTGCAGGATATATCTGATTGGTTCAGACTGTGCAATTGGTGTATGCAACATTAGTGATTTAATATTACTGCAAGGAAAGAGCCCACCTTGCTGCTGTACTCATGCCAGTAAGTATAAAACTGTCCCCTTCATACCTGGTCAAGTCATTCAGATGTGTAAATGCCAGATGGAGTTGACTGTAGTGAACATGTCTCTTCCTAGCTCCAATTAAACTTTATTCCTTTTCTTTATTTTAATGTAAACACATTTTATTTTCACTCTGTGTTCCTATGGCAATTTGAAGTGAAGGCAGTAATCTGACTGAAAACAAAACTTGTAATATTTCCTATTCCGTGCTGAGAAAGTTGAAAGATCTTGAGTTTCTGAAGGCATTTCTCAAACATAATTAATGAATCCATACTGACCAGGACAGCAAGATTTAATCTCCAAGTTGCAAAGGTCAGTTTACAGCAGGTGGGAACGGAGATAAGGAGACACTGCTGTCAACTGGGGAGGGAGTTTGTGAGAGAAAATAGCTGGAAACAAATAGAAAACGATAAAATACAAATCCATCTTTGGAGCACAAATATGTGAATGGAAAACCAAAGTATAATCCTTCTAACAGACACAGTTCTTGCCAAACATCCATAATTTTGGATGGCTGCAAAAATCTGTAATTTTGGTGGGAACGAAAAGAATGCATAACCTTGACCACCGTGCTGAGCTCAATCTATTGCATCTGCATGATTTTCTCCAAACAAATTCATCATTTGCCCTGCTGGAGCACACAGCTGCACAATGCTGAGAAGCAGAGTGGATAGCCAAGAAGAGTTATTAAGACAGAACTTCCCAGGTTTGGTGGGTTTTTTGTTTCCTTTTTATTTTTTATGTTTTTCATTATAGGAGGTTTAGGATCTCCCTTCACTCTTAAGTTATAAGATAAGGAGGCTGCTGCAGGCCCCACTGTGGAGAGATGTGAGGGGTATCCACATGACACTTCGCTTGAGAACCAAAACCATCAATTGCAGTAACTGAAAGCACAGGAAGCTTCTACAACTAACAATGAGGGATCTGCAGTCAGCAAATGTCATTTTGTTGTTTCTCTGTATCTATGAATGATTAGGGAATATCAAGATACTTTTTTTCACTGATAGACTTCTTTTGTCCTTGTGCATCTGTTGACTGGAAGGCATCCAGTGAATATAAACCCTTTTTTGAGGGGCATTAGGTTAAAAAACTTAGGTACCTGATTTTAATACCTTCTCCTTAAAAAGCATTATGTGGCTGGCTTCAGAAAGATTAAAAAATCTGAAAGTGGTACAAGGTTATATGCGACATACTCCCTCCCAGCATGTTTCAGATTGCAGCATGCTATAGATTTGAAATATATAAATGGAAAACCAAGTAAAATACTAAAATTAAAAAATGTTCCATCACGTTAGTACAACCCGATGTAAAAAGTCTTACTACCTCTATGTAAAAATTTTACTACCTCTAAAGATACTTGACAAGTGGACAAAATTCAGTACTTGAGAAGCAGTCAAATTAATATAGCTAGGTTTTCGCTTTTTTTCATTGTGTGAAATGTCTCTTTCAGTGCATTTAAAGTAAAATGTAACTATAAAAGAAGCCACATTTTCAACAACAACCCACTGGTACTTAAATACAATTAAGCACATCACAGGAAAACTTCAGGATTACTTAGGACAGCCTGGACTCCCAATTCATACACACAAATGAACATAATTCTTGCTGGGAAGCTTATGTTAAAATAATAATCTGCTCCCATTAAGTCAATGTTTTTTGTTTCTGACTTGAATAACAGTATGACTAAAATGACTACATAGAAAGAATAGATGAAATCCTGATTAAAAACCTGATTTATTCAAACGTCTTTGCAATAAACACTCCTCAAGCCAGAAAATAAACATTCTCACAGCACAATGGTTTCGAAAGAGAATGTAAAAAATAAATGTATATAAATCCCATCACCATATAATATGTACAGCACTACAGATTACTACGCAACTCCATTATTTTTACAGAAAAAAAATGTATTTTAAATTTGTTTTCAAACACTTATTTCTTCAGGTATATAATTTAAATTTGCCAAATATATCGCTTTAAAAATATCTTAAAATGCCTATAAATTATTTAGAGAGACTTTTTTTGATGTTAAGCTTCTTAGTTCAGTCAGAAAACTTACTGATTTGTCATATTCTACTTACGGTGTCAAATTCTGCCCTAAGATCTGCATAGGCATACGCCTGAAAAATTGAACTGCTAAGGCTGACAGTTTGAAAACTGGATTGGAAGGTGGTGTGCTTGCAGCCTCAATTAATGCCCCAGAACACACATATGTGACTGTAGCTCCTTCTGTGTCAAGCTGTTGGGTTTTTTTTTCAGAGGAATTTAAGCCTAGGTGAAGAATGATTAGCATGTAATTAACTGAAAAGCTACAGATCTCAGGCAATCTAGTAAGTGTGAATTACAGCCAACCTTTGGCTAGAACAGCTTATACAAAAGTCTGTATGCTGCAGATATGTAACCAGTAGGAAATGGCTGTCTGATTGCATGAATTTTACACATCTTCCAGCTTTCTAATTGATCTGAATGCTATGTCTAATGCTCAGAGGCATCTTGCAAAAAGGATTTATGATCCACATAAGAAAGAATTTCACTCATTCTTCTATGTAATTTTACACACTTGGTAGATTACCAATTATATCCTTCATTAATTAATCATGACGGACCATAATATGTTCACCGTCTCCATGAACAGGTGCATTCTTGCTACAGTTGGGAGTAAATCATGTAGCTGGCCTGTGGCTTGTTCTGAGTTTACACCAGCAGTATGTTTCTTGGAGACAGACTAAGCCTCATTGGAATTTTCTATGAACCAGAGCCATAGAAAAATATCTTCTTACCACTTCGAAGGAAACCTAAATGCTTTTCCACCATCAGGTGAAACTGAATTAGATCTCTTTTCACCCTTCAATCAATAAGCATGTAAGTAACTCATAATTAGTGGGGATACTCATGTGAGTAAAAGCATCCATAGGGTTACGTGACGGTAGGAGTTGACCATATGCAAAAAACAATAGCTTTGGTAACATACTAATATATTTACTAGTACGTATTTTCACATAATAAATTCAATGTAGTTATCATATGTGAGCTACAAATTCTTTTTGTAAAAGCAACATGATATGGGCACATTTAAAGTGTGTGGAAACATAGTTTAAGATTCAAGAGAAAACATAATGCACACAGTATGGTTTTCTCTTACATACAAAATGCAAAATAAAAATAAAAAATAAAAATAAAAATCTGCCTTTAAATTTTGGTACTACTTGATAAAAGGCAGATGAGACTTCCTACTGAACACCAAAGTAAATGCAAGGACAATGAGAAACAAATGGGCAACAGAACATTATAAAAGCAAAAAAGGGCACAGTACATGTAATCACAAGTTGATAGTGTTTAATATTACGATGATAAAGAAAGGAATAGGCTTATTAACTTACCCTCATCTTTGCACAGGCATCCTGTGTTGACTCTGTGCCTCTTAACTCTTTTACCAGCATAGAACCTAAATACTAAGATAAAAATCCATTAAACTTAATTTAGAATTCCAGAACAAACAAACATCTGCACAAATGCACTAAAAATGCCTAAAAATCATAGTGGTAGCAGCAAATTAATATATTGCTATAGATTTTTTTTACTTTGCAGTTCTCTGATAAATCATTTAAACCAGTGTGTTAATCAGCCTATGAAACAGGAATGCACAGCAACAAGTGTAGTGAATCAGATGGAGCCCTTTGAAACAATATCTGAAAGTCTTCTAGCTTACCACTGTAGTGACTCAAACAACAAAGAAACACTACAGATCCCATCTTAAAAAAAGGCGTTTGAGTAAAACAAAATGAGAATTTGCTTTTTTTAGCTTCCATCTGCCAAACTCATATTGCTATGTGTGCAGTCACATGGATGTGAAGGGCAGCAGCGATGTTAACCTCTGTGTACTCAATCTGTAACTAATTTATGTGCAAATAACAGAGCCTGATGGCAACAGAGGAAATAAATCTGAACTGAAAACTAGTTTAAGCCATTATTTCTTCCTAAGAAAAGGCTGACCCTGAACTATTATTTGGAAGCCTTCACTGATCTGAGTGAGGGCTGGGTGAGAGGAAGCAGCAGGGTGTCGGTGCTGGTCCTGGCTCAGCTTGATGAAAGCCACTGTGCTCTCTGAGAAGCCTGCTCATCTCTGAGGGTACACAAGGCGCAGTGAGTGCCTCACTGACACATCCACTTTTCTACCTGTCTCTTCCTCACTCTGTCACTTGCTGGCATGCACAGTTTGAGCCCTCCTGCACTGTGACAGTGGGCTCTGTCCTCTGGATTTATTCCTCTGAGGTCTCAGGACCTCTCTATACCGTGACTGAATGGCACTGCTCCTTCAGGGATGGAGCTGGCTGCATCATCCCTGCTGTTCTCGGGTGGTCTTGTTACTGCTAACAGGGCTGTGTGAGAGCCATGCTTGCATTTCTCCTAGAGATACTTCAGGCATGTGCATTTATGGATGTGCACATGCTCATATAGCTCTGAGTAAACAGGATGTTTCCGTATTTCTGTCTCATGCAACTCTGGCTTAACTGCAGAAAGGGGAGAGCAAGCCACCTCTTGTCTTCTCCCCAGGCACAGAGATGTCTTTTTGCATTCTCACTGCAGCGCAATGCCATGGCTTCTCTCAAGTCTTCATTTGGAGGCGAGCAACACAGGAGCTGAAGAGAAGTCCTGCCTCTGGTGAGAATGGGGCAGGTAGACTGCAGGAGGAGGGAAAGTGCCAAGGGCAGGAGCCTCTTCTTAGAGGATGCTGCAGACCACCACCAATGCCTGATCCCTCTCATTCCACCACACTGACTCCCCTTAGGAACAGATTGAGCTGACTCAACCAGGTCATGAACCAGCTTCACCTTAAACAAGAACTTATCAAAAATAACTTCAGTTACAGCTGAATACAAGCTGTGACAAAACAGAAAGTATACTGGTTCATCTCCAGTCTCCTGACCTAAACTGAGATATTTTCTTTAAAGCCTTCAGTTCACACTGAGTACCGCAGGGGTTTCTGACCTGCAAGAAAATGCATAAATATTTCAATGTAGACAGCAGCCAACATGCTAATTGATGGTAATGTTGAGAAACTTTACAGGGCATTATAAATGTAAGGGTAAGCAACACCAACACTGCCAGGTAAGCACAAGCAGAAAGGAATGAAGGGCATTCCTATGAAGATTCATAAACTAAGCAGCTGCAAGTCCAGCTGGGGGCCCAGCGGTGACATGAATAGGGCTTTGGGCATTAATTTGATGGGATGGCTTAGTATTGCCCTTGGAGAAGAGAAATGAATTTAAAGCAAGTTCTGAAAATAGAAAATTAAACAAAAGCATATTGAATTGGACTATACATTTCTCCAGATCCTCCTGTCTACCACCTTTGGCAGCCTCAGTCTTCTCTGGGAAGGACACAATTCCTTTACTTTCTTTTTTAATGGACTACAGCACACCAAATTGGTATTTCCTTGAAAGCTACCAGCTGGTCAGGCATCGGGCAAAAAAGCTCATGGCAGAACAACAGGAAGAGACTGGCAGCTCCAGTCCCTGCCTCAGCTGCTAGCATTCAGAAATGTTTCTCAGGGTGGACTGTGTAACAGACAAACAAATCACAGAAGTACTGCCCAATTTAGTTACCAGAAAAATTGAGAATTCTAGGAATTTTGCTTTCTTTTGACTTGCTGTGCTTTTGGAAATGTTCCTTCTGAAAGACCCAGAGCATGTGGGAGCAAGGCAGAGGGCATCCAACAGTTTAACTGAGTGATGCACCATACAATGAAAGCTGCCCTCATTATAACATCCAAGCTAGGGTTTTAAAGCTGAGGTCAATACAGCTCAGGGAGCTGAGACAATAGACTGGTACGTGCTCCTTAAGAAAGGAAGGTGTTTCCTTCATCACCAGTAATCTGAATATTCCTGGTCATCCCAACTTCATCTCTGTCATCCACACGCCTTCCAATCTACTACAAAGGTTACATCTGATTGTGAATTTACTGCTGGATCAAGCAATGAGATAAGAGGCACACAGGTGTGATAAACCTGTTCATTTTACTGCAAACTATGAAAAATATTTAAGGAATTATAAATCACTGAGTTTCCTTTTCAATTTGAAGTGCTTCACAGGAGGAGAGCAAACCTGAGAGCAGATGAACTGGACCTTGACTGTGACTTGCTGAGGAAGGCAGAGGTGCTAGTTACTGTCCAGGGACAACCACAGAAAGGAATTTGTGACAGATTACAAGTAGGGGTGTTTGCTCTCACTGCCACTTCTATGACACTTAGCCACTTATTCATAGAGCATTTCTTTAAGGCTGTTGCTACACAGACTGCAATATATCACTAAATTCGTATCAAAAAGTACTGTGCATTCTTGTTTCTTATTTAGTACAATTACACTGAAAAAATATTACAAATGAAAAAAACTCAGTCCATCAAAATCTAAGGTTAATATATCTACCCCAAGTCAAACCACTAAATTTATCAACACTTACAAATGCTTTATAATCACATGACTGGAAAATGAGTTTCTCTGGATGATGTTGCCAATATTGTACAGGCGTTGATGCTGTGGCTTCATTTGGAGGTCTCAAGGTAATGGAAGGCTCTCCCCAGTCTCCTGTCTGAAAATCATAGTTGTTCAAGATATAAGAGAAGTTGCAGGCAAATTCACTATACAGTAACCCTCCATTGTTGTGCTCAATTAACAATAATTTATTTTATACACATAGAGCCATGTTACTAAAATAAGGGAACACAACTCCTACAACATTTTGCATGATTTAATTTATAATCCAAAGTCATCTACTGCAGTGTTTAATGAGGCTTTAATTAAATCTATTTGCTTTGAGAATAAAATCATTAGGCTCTGGAAACGTTCTTTAAAAATAACTGTTTACAATACATATATGAGGATGAAAGCAATGAGATACACAAAAATGCCATTCACAAATTTCACTACATGTTTTACAAGCTCTTCTACGCTGTTAAAAAGTGTTCCATTACCCCAGCACATATAATCGATAACTAACTTTACTAAATGACTAAATAACTTCAACTTTGCTTTGATCTGAAAACTTACTGCACATTCTTCAAACACAGGTATTCTTTAATCTCTTCACAAATATTTGCTTTGAACACCTTCTCTTGATGTCTTACTGTAGAGCTACTAACATTGCCCTTCTGTATCCATCATTCTCATTGATACAGGTGATTGATTGCCTTCCTGAGCTGTCATCTCCCCTTTGTCCTCAAAGCTGTCAGAGAACAAGGGTAGGACTGCGGTTTACCAAATCCCTTTGCAGGACACTCTTCTCCCTTCCAAAAAGAGCCAACACAGGCATTGGTACAGGAATACCCCCAGCATGGTTGTGCTGGTCTGGGTCTTGCCTGCCATTGCCTATTTTTGGACATGGCTTTATTGGACCTGGACTGACCACTGGGCCCTTGGGGACTCCTCCCACCTTGAAGGCCCTTGCAAAAACAGCTATTATTTTGAGATTGTTTATTTATTTTTTAACTGCAATCTCTCCTACTTTTGGTTCACATGTGCCCATGCTCTCTTCAACCGGGATGCTGCCAAATCAGCATCAGCTCACTTTAAGAGAAAATGACCTGTGGATGGAGTTCTCCTCTTCCCAAGTCTCCTTCCCTTTACCACCAGCCCCACTTCTCCCCTATCCTGTCTGGTCTGTTCTTGTCTGTCTCTGAATTCCCCTGTCCTTCCTATCTGTCTTTTGGGGATCAGATTTCTGCCTCCTTATCCTTCTTCCTCCTCTGCCTGTTTTCTCTCAAACTCTTTTACCCTGTCCTATTTGATTATTTCAATTTGGATCATGCTACTTCTTTCTTTACCTGCACTTATCTCTGTGTATTTTCTATGCATGCCATGTTGTTAAAATATGTGTTAAAGCTGGCAAGGAATTGTCATCAGCATTTCACACAGAATATGGCTAGAATTTAAGACTTTTAAAGCAAAAAGAAGTTAAGCATCAAAAACACATGAAAAAATCTTATTGAAGACATTCAAAAGTCTGGCAAACTATCACATCCTACTAATTAAATCAGGACAGAGTAAACAAAACATCATTTTCATGTGTCACAAAATAATGAAATGACACGCATTTGCACAACTCTACAATGAAAAGCAAGAGATAAATCTGGAAACATCAACATTACCCTGCCAATATGGTAACTTCAAGCAAGGGAACATCATAAAACAAGTCAAATGCAGTTAATATTGGCACTATTAGCACACCTACAAAATATACAGTACTGTAATTTCTATTTTACCTAGTTAAGTTCCCTATATACTATGGATATGACTTCAACCTCAAATTTTTAAAGGAAAGTAGCAGGAGCAATTGCTCCAATTTGTGGCATACTGTATCCATAGAAATGAATACTTCTGACCACCTTCTATCCTTCTATCATATTTAATCTGAAGTGGAAATTTCATTTGTTTAAGAAGCAGTTCTCCTTATTAAATAAGGTTTCCATCATTTTACAATGGGAAAGCATCTGCATCCTTGTTAGTGGAGTTTGTATTTGACTACAATATGGATTGAACCCATGACACATTCTAAGAGTGTGCTCAACTGTTTTTCATGAACTGTTCAAGGTAATAGCTAACAGACAATTTGATATAGCCTCCTTTTTTTTTTTTTCCTAATAAAGAAACACTCCTACATGTTCTGTGTGAGGAAGCAGAAGGTATATCCTATCTATTTAGCAAAAGGTTATTATGACGGAATAGGAGTAACTCCAGGGAAAAAAAAAGCTATAAAAGTGTATCTTTTAACCACTGGTCTTTCCACCAAGGAAACATGGAGATGGCCATAAGTGGGACTAGAATTTCTACAGAACAAGTGATTCTGGGTAGTACCAACACTGAGTGGTGCTTCAAACCCTTTTGTTGCACTGCTGTGCAGGTGACTGTTCTTGCATGCAGAAAATGGACAATACTGACAAATTAAGCAGGGTACATAAGGAATAAAATGAGTACATCATTTTATAGTTTGATTCACTTTTGTATGGAAGATATTAAAAACATGAAGAACTGCATTGTTTCTTTCTGTCAATGAAGGGCAGTAAAAAGAGTATCCCTGATTAATCTCATATTGGTTCAATTTTATAAAAGAGCTAGGAAGCAATAATCATGAAAAAATGAGAAATAATCTTCCACTAGGCTAATAAAACTAGTGTATGAGTCACTTGGAGAGGGACTGTTTGGAGACCATTTGTTTGTATTTGTTTGTATATTTGTTTGTATTTGCTCTATAAATATATACAATCATTCTAGTACCTACTCTTTTTAAATTAGACAAGACAGAATTTATAAGACTGCTATACAAGTGGATGATCTAAACACACAATACAGCTGGGGTTAAGGCAATGCAGAGATACAGGATTTCTGCACCGAGAGACCTTTTGTGCATTTCAGTGTGACTTGCAGAGGGAGCAGCTACTAAGAAATGCTGCATAAAATTAAACATCATAGGTATAGGTTATAATGATAGTTGAAGAAGACATGTTATACATAGACATAAATTTTTTTAACTGTATCAGAAGTGTTTTTTAATATTCAGTAGAAGTGGCTTTTGGTCTCCTTTCCTTTTGTTTCTTACCAAACTCCTCAGATTTTTAAACCAAACTATTGCTAGTATTCATTACCTACTTAGACTGAGATAGAACAGAGCAGTCTCTAAAGCCCAGATCCAGGAAGATGGTTAGAAGTTTAATTCTTACTACGTACTCCCCACACATTATCTTTATTCTTTTAAGGGAAAAAAGGCTTTTAGAAAAGATTTAGAGAGGAAACTACTTTCATAAATCTGGGCCTAAAAACCCCTACAGGCAAAAAAGTTGTTCCTCGGTGGACTGACTCAAGTCAGGTACTGTAACTTCTCAATTTAGGATGTGATGATGGCAATTAACTTCAGGTAAAATATAAAGTAGGAACATCTTTGACCTACAGAAGACTTGAAACAACAAGTCTCAAGTCTCGGGTAGAAAAACATGAAATACTAGCAATTCTAAATGTGAGGAATCTGTCTGGTACAACTCATGGCTGACATACTGAGAATTCAGGACCTTCCTAAGCACCTAAAACACTTTAAAGCAGTATAGAAATGTTCACAAATTACTGTGCAGAACTAACTACGATGTTTGATTTGATTTTTAAAAATAGGTATGCTCGGATGAGGATTTTCTGGTTTGAATATTTAATTAGCAATTATAAAAAACAAACATTTAAGCTTCTGTATTTTTTATGACACAATATATGTATGAAGATTTTTATCTCTCTGATGAAGTAGAAAGGCAAAAGATAATTTATTCCTCATCTAACTTTACAGCTCATCAGACAGCTGTGCAATTTATCACGTGGCTTTTGCTGTACTGCCCGTGTTTTAGTATTCTAACCTCCCATGCCTTTAACCACTGCCTTTCCTCTCTTTGGCTTCAGTCAGCTCGAGAAAGAAGATCTTTTTCCTCCACATTTTGCAGATAAAGAATTAACAATCACAAAATGGTCTCAAGTCAGGTGCCAGAGTGATAAAGATTCAATTCTTTTACAGTGACAACTTTTAACCATAAAGGAAACAGCCTAAAAAAAACAGTATCTCATGCTCTTGCAGTCCTTCATAACACTAAAAATGGGCAGATGTGCACTTCTCAGTGCTCTAGAAAGGGTCAGATGCTTGATGTCAAATGAGTTACAGAAGTGGATTATTGCTGTTAGGTAATTTTTTACAATTGTTGCACATTTTTCTCTCTCATCCCATTCTCTGACAATTGAATTTGGCTCATAGTAAAGACAAGGATGAAGAGGTATCTTTAATATGTAAACAAGTGATCTCAAATCAACTTTTATAAAACCTAACACCTGCCTCATCTTCTTATAAAAATGTCAAGTTAAAAACCCTCCATGCTGCAGGAAAAAAGAAAAAAAGAAAGGCCTGGTTTTGAGTGGTTGAATATAGTCATTTTTAAGAAGGACCACATCATCTAACTTTTCACCTGTTAAAGCCTCATGCCTAGTTATGGTAACATGCATTAGTCACCATGACAACAATAAATTGGAGCACACATAGATACAACGCTTCTGCCTGAAAAATCAGTAATTTTCTCCCTGTAAGAATTGTAAATGTTCTGTGGACCAGCCAAATCTTCTTTATTTATGTACATTTTAATTCCTAGAGCAAGAGAAACTTTTCTTAGCTCCTTGTATCTTTGGCTTTTGAAATAATGGAAGCAGGTTCATGGCATACTTACATTTTAAAAGCTTCTAAAGCTCAGTAGCCAAAACAGCCCCTCTCTGAGAGAGATACTCCAAGGAAGCAGTCATATGGCACAAATTAGGAGAAATCTAGAGTTCCTCTGATATACTCTGCTGAATGACAGGCTGTCGCCCTTACCATGCTGCAGCACAGATCACCAGATTTGCTCTCACGTGCACAGCACACGTGACTGTCACAGAAGTGATGAAAATTCAGAGCAGCATCAGTATTACCTCTAATTCCCCAAAAGTGCCTCTGCAAACATGGCGTGTTCCCCAGCTAGGCAAAGCCTATAGGTTAACACAGAAAGGGCAGCACAACACATTGTGGGGGTGAAACTGTGCAAACCGAGCTGTTTACACGGTTTCTCGCTTTGGAAAAGTGAGCAAATGAAATATTGTGAAGAGAAGTCAAAGCTCCCCCTGAGCAAGACTGCTGCTGGCAATACCCCCATCCTGTATGTACACCATACAGCCAACATATGCTAGCCACATGGCACGATACATGAATGCACGCACACATAATCCCAAAAGAGGGCGGACAAGTTACAAACTTTTTTTGTCATTTCAGTGACATGACACCCGTAGATAACACCACGGCAACAGACTGTACATCCATAGAGTGACAACATAGCCATTTATCACTGTATCTTACATTATGAACCTGATGAATCGATGAGAAAGGATATCCTGCATTCTGGTTGGTCCAGATCTCACAGACCGAGGACTGCTAATATAAACAGAAAACTACATCTCATCTTGTAAATATTAATGCACTGCAACTGCCAAAAGGCAAGAATAATTAAGAAAAGGCTTGCAACAATATCAAAGAAGGAAATAAAACAGCTGTTAAAAGTAGTTTTTTATTTATTTGATGACAAAATATTTTTGGACTGACTGGAAGGAAACAAAGCTTATTCAGAGACTTTAGAAGAGGTTTCAGACTGTGAGTACAAGGAAACAATTTAGTCAGAAGTGCTGGTGATGTAAGGAGATAAAGTTATGTAGGCATAAACAGAAAATGCAGAGCGCAGAAGAAATACTGGTTACTTTCAGGTTTTGGTAGGGAAGAAGTTTGAAGTTAACATCCCAATTAAGTTTTGAGATCTGAGCCTCCTTCTGTTGGAAACTTTCACAGGGAGAGAGGAAGAGAAAAATTTGGCAATACAGTCAACAGGAAAAACAAGTTTTCTTTGTAGCAATTACCAGAAAAGAACGCATTGCAGCTAAGTGAAGCAGTTGCCCAACACCGCCTTCCAAAAACAGTTCCTTTGCATACAGAGATACAGATTAGTATTACCTTTGGCACTGACCATGACCCTGCTGTACAAATGAAAGGTTTCAGTCCACCTTCTACATTATAGTACAGATAGTCCGTAGTAGCGAAGCCAAGTAAGCATACTGTAGCATCTCTAGCAAAAGCAACAGAACTTGGCAAGCAGAGCCAGCATCTTTTACATATTTCCTTGTTTGGGCACTCATCAAGAAAGCATCTGTGACACCTCAGCAAAAGCTAAGATAACATTTTACAGTAGCCAGGCAACTAAAACAAAGCATCAGATGTAGGATCTGCCCACAGTATCTTCGGCAGGCAGCAAACAAAGGCAATAAACACACTTGAAAAATGCAACTGCCACATCCACAATAGATAGCAATTAATATCAGTTATTTAACAACAGCAAGAATGTGCATTCCCAGTTCTTAGCAGCAGCAGCAGGATTTTAGCACCGATGCTCAAAGAAGTGCAACTGTTTTTAAAAATATGGCTCTTGCTCTTACCTTTTGTAGCCTGAAACCTAGCTGCTTGGGGAGTGACAGACTAGGTTATCACCTTGTTACTGTCAGGGCAGGCTGGTATCCTCTGGACTGACTACTGAGCGCTGCCAGACAGGCTGGTGGCAGCCTAATGTTGTTAATCGTCCCTTATTTCCTTCATGATCTGTAATGGATGAGCATGCATCCCTTCCTACAGCTTCAGTTAATTCTTACACTTTCCCCTATCTGGTTAATTTCTTCTCCCTCATTTTGTTTTTGAAGTTATTTGCTTCTTCATGATGTGCAGGGCTCATTTTGATAGCATTAGCTAATAAAAACTTTGACTTTGGCTCACAGTCTTCTATCTCATCCTCTGCAACTTGCTACAAAACAGTCCTCCTCCATGTGACGAACACCTACTCTCAGTGCAAGACCAGCAGCAACCACTCCTCTGCTGTGCCATTATTAGAACATTGCACTAGTTGGCACTAATGACCCTTTTTTCTGTATGTCAAGCAAACTGACTTCTGGATGTTCTGATCATGCCCATGGATGTGACGCCTATTTTTGTTTGCCTGGGGCAGGGGGCAGGATTCCTGAATGGGAGTCCATGGCAGGAGATTGTGCCTCTGCTTTTCAAGAGAAGAGTAAAAGAGAACAAATTTCCATGCCAGGTGCAGCATCCCCAAGCATCTGGTAATCAGGAAAACATAATGTAGTGCTATTTGGACACACTTGCTGTGGTCCTGAAAGGAGTAAGGTAAGGCAGCACGATAACGTGTGTTACAGATATTTTAGTTCTCCCCAGTGCTGGCACACAGTTGCTGTAATGCTATCATATTATACAGCTGGTGCTCACCATCTTGATATTCTGGAGAAAAAGGCGTATCCTTAAATCCTGCCCCTTCCAAGGACTAGCCTTTAGGGAGTAGTGTGGTGCCTCAGGTGAATCAGCTGGTGTCCTGGTTTCGGATGGAACAGAGTTATTTTTCTTCCTAGTAGCTGGTGCAGTGCTGTGTTTTGGCTTTAGTCTGAGAACAATGCTGAAAACACACTGATGTTTTAGTTGTTGTTAAATAGCACTTACTCTGATCAAGGACTTTTCAGTCTCATGCTCTGCCAGTGAGGAGGGGCACACGAGAAGCTGGGAGGGAGCACAGCTAGGACACCCAACCTGAACTAGCTAAACGGATATTCCATACCACAGCATGTCATGCTCAATATATAGACTAGGTAGAGTTACTCGGAAGGGCCAGGCTGCTTTTCAGGTCAGGCTGGGTATCAGTCAGTGTGTGGTGAGTGATTGTATTGTGCATCACTTGGGTTTCCTGAATTTTCTTTTTTCTAGGTTGCTCCCTTATTATTATTACCAGTATTGCTGTTAGCGGTATTATTTCTATTATCATTATATTTTACTTTGTTTCAATTATTAAACTGTTCTAATCTCAAACCATAGGGTTTACATTCTTCAATTCTCCACCTCATCCCACCTAGGGGGAAAGGAGAAGGGGTGGGCAAATGGCTGTGTGGTACTGAGTTGTCAGCTGGGTTTAAACCATGACAGCCAAGAGACAATGCCTGTCCCAGCACAGCAGAGGTGTGCAGGGCTCTCCTAGCAGAGTGCCGGGGCTGCTGCTACTGACAGCGATGCTGCAACAGCAGCCCTACCGTGCTGCAGCACCTAACGTATAAATACACTGGATACATCGGTCAGCTGCTTTGGTGCTAACTCAGGAACAGGTTATGTGACACTGCAGTAAACATGTATGCAAGCTTTAAGTTGCTTCATTTAAAAGGAGGGCAGGGAATCAGTCCTTCCTCATACATGCCAATGGTACCCACACTGTCCCTGCCCCCCCAGCTCATCTTCTCCTAAACATAAACTCAGGGGCTAGAGTACTCACCCAAAAACTGTGAGGTCTCGATGGCCTCTGAGGGAATTCATACCTATCTATTTCACCTTCCTCTTTCACAGGTTAAAGCAGCAGAAGACAGGCTGTCTTCAACTCCTTTTATAAATGCAGTCCTAATTTTTGTTTTTAATTCTTTGGAGAAAGAAGAGTGCATAAAAGCAGATGTTTGGAGTACTCACCTGTGAGAGACAAGTTCTGGTTCCAGGTGTCTGCTCCAAGGACTGTTAAGTGAACTGCCCCCATCACACAGGCCTACCTCCAGAGTTATTTGGAGGATCAAGGCTTAAGCTAAATCATCCTTAAATATAGGTGACTTGATTTATTAAATCAATAATAAATCAAGTGAACCAGCAGAGACTGAGAATTTCTTGCAACTGTATGAGTGCCCAGTCACAAGGGCAGCAGTGCAAAACTCCTTAGTTCTGCACTCATTAATGTTTGAATGACTAAGGTACTGAAATGCAGTACAGAAGGAACATTAATTTTATAGAAGGTAATGAATTCAAATTCAGAAACCAACCTTTTCCTTGCACCACTGTAAAAATATTTAGCATTTACTAGATACATATTTTATGTCTTCAAAGTGCTAACACTTTTTAATGAATTATGAAATCCTCAGGAGAATTACTTAAAGTTGCATACCCGTGTGCTGAAGAGGAAAAAAACAGGGAAAGGAAAAAGGTTAAGTGAGTATCTGAGGCCAGTAAATAGGCAGTAGGAGGGAGAATGGGGATTAAGCTTCAAACACTCATAATATTGAGCTCCCAAAACATATGCCCTCAAAGAAAAGGAAAAGAATTCAATCTGTGCCTGCACTTCCACCGTAATAAACACAAATACGCTTGGGCACTTGGTATTAAGTGACACAGAGGTTCTATGAAAAAGAGTTTAACAAAAAACATTTTCCCAGGTATTATGGTAAATAGCATCAAAAAAATGGCATCAGCTATTGCCTGATTAGTATCAAACATGCATTTATACTTCCCAAAAGATAAATGCTTGCAAGTAATATCACAGCAAGATCCTGCTATCATGATACTGTTCCTGTGATAACTACAGATGTCCCATGCATGAAGGATTTTGATGGCTTTAAATTGACAGAGGGTAGAGTTAAATTAGACATTAGGAAAAAATTGTTTACTGTGAGGGCGACGAGACACTGGCATAGGTTGCCCAGAGAAGTTGTAGCTGCCCCATCCCGGGAAGCATTCAAGGTTACATGGGGCTTTGAGCAACCTGGTCTAGTGGAAGGTGTCCCTGCCCATGGCAGGAGGGCTGGAACTAGATGTTCTTTAAGGTCCCTTCCAACCTCAACCATTCTATGATTCCCCCATCTAATCACCATGGGACACAACTCTGATGGGCAGGAGGGGCAAAGAAAGGGGGGAAAGAAATGGCTTGCAGTGCACAGCTCCTGCCATCTGCTACCCATGATACAGGTGGGTGGTTAACAGTATGAGAGGGAGGGAGGTGAAGCTCTGTATTACCTGCTTCCCTCTCATCCATCTCCCTTCTCTTCCCACAGTTCTGACATAGTCTCCCAATCACTTTATGACTGTCTTTAAAAAGAATTGTTTAAGGACATTTACACTTCTCTTGTTTATTTAACTTAACCTACTTGACTTCAAGAAAACATTCATGTAAGAATATTCTTACTGTTCTGGCTAATTTCCATCATGACAGAAGACAATATGGTTTAATTACTTCAGACACTTACAGTGAACTCAGTAGCCAATCATGCTACAAAGTGCTTGCACATTTCCACCTGCTTCAAGTCTTTCTAATCACTCATATGTTTACTGGAAAAGCTCTAGAACAGTACATACACAGGTCTTCAAGGTTGTGGGCTATGTTGGAGACAACCTGGTGTTTCATAAAGTGAATCAGGGAAGACTTGGTTCATAATCTGAAGACAGAATAACTGTACTGAAAGTGATCACAAACCAGTAAGAGTAATCATGGAAATTACATATTTTCTAGGGAGAGGAAAGCAATACCTGGACAGCATATGCATAAGAAGCTGGGTGAAAGGCAGTCCTGATGTATTCAGCACACCTCACTG